GAAAAAATAAAAGAATCACATGATCATATCAATTGATGGAGTAAAGGCATTTGATAAAATCCAACATCCATTTCTAATAAAAACCCTCAACAAGGTCAGCAGTTCAAACTCACCAGCTGCCCCTTGAGCAATTGATTGTCTTTTCCACAATCTGCCCCTGGCCTTGTTGTGGCTGATGATATGGAGCTCTTCTACCATCTCTTTCCACAGAAGTAGTCAGTTTGATTTCTGTGTATTACATCTGCTGAGGTCTGTGTATATAATCGCCTCTTATGCTGTCTAAAGGTATTTAAAATGAACAAATCTGTTTTTTTCATTCAACCAAACAAAATTGGTTTTGTCTATCATGCGATCTCCAGCATCATTACTATCACCAACGGCATATTTTCCAACTACTGATCCCTCCTTTTTGTTTCCAGTCTTTGCATTTCAATCACCAGTAACGATCAATACATCTTGATTGCTTGTTTGATCAACTTCACACTGAAGAAGTTGGTAGAATTCTTCTGTTTCATTCTCACTGACTTTAGTGGTTGGTGCATAAATTTGAATAATAGTGATATTAACTGGGCTTCCCTGTAGATGCATAGATATTATCCTATTACAGACAGCATTGTACCTCATGATTAATTTTGACATGTTCTTTTTGACAGTGAATTCAACACCATGCTTTTTCTATTTGTCATTTCCAGCATAGTAAGCCATATGGTTGTCAGAATGAAAATGGCCAATACCAGTCCATTTCAGCTCACTAATGCCTAAGATACCGATATTTATGTGTTCCATTTCATTTTTGACAATTTCAAATTTTCCTAGATTCATACTTCATACATTCCATGTTCTGATTATTAACAGATGTTTATAGCTGTTTCTCTTCATTTTGAGTTGTGCCCCATCAGCAAATGAAGGTCCCACGGGCATTACTCCCAAAGGCTTTACTCTAGTCGCGTCATCATGGTCAACTGTACTTTGAAGAGGCAGCTCTTCTCCAGTTGCATTTTGAGTGCCTTCCAATCTGAGGGGTTCATTTTCCGGCACTATATCTGACAGTGTTTCTCTGCTATTCATAAGGTTTTAAATGACCAAATATTTGGAAATAATTCGTCACTTCTTCTTCCTAGTCTGTCTTTGTCTGGAAGCTCATCTGAAACCTGTCCACCATGATAACCCTGCTGGTATTTAAATACCCATGGCATAGCTTCCAGAATCACAGCAACTCACAAGCCACCACAGTATGAAAAACTAACTGATGAGTAGTGGCATTTTGGATTAAGCATAACTAATTTAAGGAGCTCTGGTAGCATAGTGGTTACGAATCAGGCTGCTAACCTTAGTGTTGGCAGTTCGAAACTACCAGCTCTCCACGGGAGAAAGATGAAGCTTTCTGCTCCTGTATAGATTTATAGCCTTGGAAATCCTGTGCAGGATCACTATGAATCGGAATCGACTTCAGGTACTTAAAAACAACAGCACATTTATATATGGAGTCCTGATGTAGAGCTGGAAGATAAGCATTGGACTGCTAACTTCAGCGTTGGTGGTTTAAATCTTGTCAGCTACTCCTTGGAAACACTATACAGGTTCTCTGGAGTTGGAACCTACTCCACGGCACTTAACAATAATTTGTATATAAATTTCTTGGTTTTATAGCATAGGTTAAGGTACCTTATGGGTCCATAATCTGGTATGTTTTATCCCATTTTAGCACTTGCTTTGTTTTGGGGAGGGAATTAAGTGGATAATTAATGTAAGTATTTATTTAGATCCCTTTGTGAAATACTCATAACTATTTTTTTTTTTTTTTAAATACTGGATTAAACTGTGAGCACCAAAATTATTAGTGTATAATGGTCTGTACATGATGGATGCAATAAACTCTTTTTGATAGATTCAGTGTTCAATAGTAGGGATAAAGAAAATGAAGATTATTCTTGAAATATTTTCATCTTGCTTTTTTACTTGGAGAAAATTTTAAAATGCTTGCAAAAATTAATATACTCAGAATGTGATTTGTATAGCTGTCTGACATTAGCTAATCAGATTTATCATTTTTATCATAAACACTAAATTAATTAAGTACTCTGCATTTTATACAGAAACACTATAAAACTAAACCCAATGCTATTGTGTTTATTCTGACTCACAGCAATCCTTTATAGGGTTTCCCAGACTATCAATCTTAAATGGAGCAGACAGCCTCATCTTTCTCCTGCAGAGTGGCTGCTGGGCAAAATAAGAACCTTTTGTTAGCAGTCCATTGTTCTTTATAACAGGAACAGAAAACATAATTTTAAATAGAGACTCCTTAAAACCAACCATAGTTAATAGTTTTCAAATTTGGGAACAAAGTTTGAATGACAGGTATGCCACAATGAGATATATAATATATACACATGTGTATGTATATTGGCTGGGAAGACATTTGTTGTTTTTGTTAAGTACCATGGAGTCAGTGTTTGCTCATAGAGCACCCTGTATAGGGTTTCTGAGGCTTTAAATTTTTGTGAGAGCAGAATGTCTCATCTTTCTCCCGTTGAATGGCTGGTTGGCTTGAATCACTGATCTTGTGGTGACCCTGAACAGGGTTTCCGATGCTTTTAAATCTTTAAGGGAGCAGAAAGTCTCATCTTTCTCCCGCGGAGCAGCTGGTAGTTTCGAACTGCTGACCTTGTGGTTTGCAGTGTGATTCGTAACCACTATGCTACCAGAGCTCCTTAGACCTTCACATTTAAAGTAAATATTGACAACAATTGCTTAAACTGATTGTGAGGAACAAAGTTTAGTTCCACATTAAATGGCAGCCTGCAAGGCTTTTAATTAAGGAGAGTTTTAAAGAAAAGGAGGGGCCATATGTTAGTTTAACCAATTTAACGTTAAAACCTAATGGTTTATTTTCTAAAGCCAAAATAAATATAGTGGTAACATTGAATTTTTTCCAACCACTCAGTGTTTAGTAGTTTTCTTTTTTTGCTTGTCTTCCTCCTTTATGCTCTTTTAGGACCCTTTTTAAACTGGTAATCTCACTGAATAATAATTATTTTTGCATGTCTATCTCCTCTTTTAAAATTGTAAACTCCTCAAAGTCATGAATTGTATTTCATTAATCTTCTTATTCCTAGAAAAGTGTTTGGACTATAAATCAAAACCAAACTTGTTCCCAATGAGGCAATTTTGACTCATGGCGACCTCATGTGTTACAGGGTAGAACTGCACCATAGGGTTTTATTAACTATAATCTTATTTTATGGAAGCAGATTGCCAGACCTTTCTTCTGTGGTGCTGCTGAGTGGGTTAGAACTGACAACCTGTTTGTACTACCCAAGGGCCTTATGTATATATCACAGAAAGGATTAAGTTCAAGTGATTGGATTATATTGGTAGTGGTGGTGGTCATTTGCCTTCGAGTTGATTTAGACTCATAGTGACCCCATTTAGGGTTTCCAAATCTGCAGATATTTACGGTAGCAGAAAGCTTCATATTTCTCCTGCATTGTGGCTGGTGGATTTGAACTGCTGACCTTGTGGTTAGCAGCCCAACTCATAACCTACTGTATTACCAGAGTTTCTTAGGTATTTAATAATCATAAAAATGATGTTGTTAAGTACTGTTGAGTTGGTTCCAACTCATAGTGACCCTATATAGTGTTCCCAAGAAGCGACTGATGGATTTGAACCCCCGACTTTGCGGTTAGCAGTCCAGTGTCTATCCTACAGTACCACACCAGGACTCCAACCATAAAAATAGCATTTAAATATTTGTTTTAATTGAACTTTTCTCTGTGCCCAGCAGTATGTCCGCATTTTATGTGAATTGTCTAATTTAATCTACAGAGTAACTAAAATTAGTTGTTGTTGTTGTTAAGTGCCGTCAAGTCGATTCCAACCTATAGCGACCCTGTATAGGGTTTCCAAGGAGCAACTGGTGAGCTTGAACTACTGACCTTACAGTTCAAACGACTTTGCGGTCTGATATATTAGCCCACAGCGCCACACTTATTATCCACATTTTGCATCAAGATAATTGAGACTTAGAAAGTAACTGGCTTAAGACTTTACAAATGTAAATGGTAGAGTCAGGTCAACTTCCAGGCAGTCTGACTTCAGAACACATGTTTTTAATCACTCTACTAGTGAAAGATACTTATTTAATAATTTAGTAATTAGATAAGTATCAAGTAGTGATAAAGTCAATTGAAGGAAAAATTACTTTTGCCTTAAGTATTAATTGAGGACAAAAGCACTGCTGTTTTACTTTGAAATATTTGAATTTTAGTGGATGGCTACATAGAAAACCCTTTTCTGACGTGCATTACCATACAATGTTGATTTAGTTTCAGTGTGTGAGTGGTGTGGTGCTGCAGTAGAGAAGTCGGCAACAGAAAGAACAAATTCAAATTCAACTGTTTCTTACCTACTTTGTGAGATTTAGTTCTCCCTTTACCATTTTACGTTTGAAAATGTGGATGTCATCATGGTACTTCAGAGTGGGTCTCCACAACATGGTATGTGATCGATCATGGATAGTGATGCACATAAGCTTAGTAGAAATTTGCTGATTCTGTGTCTTTTAATAGCTAGTCTGTGCAATAAAATTGAAGGTAATACCAAGGAGAAATAGAACAGCTCTTAGGGCATTGTTGTTGCAGATGATTCATGAGTAACAGTACTGATGACAAAATAAGAGTAAACAATTCATTTCTCAGGGGAATAATGATGAAGTCTAAAATCCTGTAACTATGTTGTTGGAATTAGTATGTAAATATTTCCTTCTTTTACCCTTATACCTTTGAATGTTAATAGGAGCTCCTTTCGTATTCATAATAATTTTTAGTGTTGCTTGATGTCGTTTATATTTTTGTGTGAGTCAAATACTTTGATTTGTATTACTTATTGTGCTTTCTGAAATAATAATGCATTCTTAAGTAAAGAAATTGTTTTTTGATGAGTGTTTTTCTTTTTGAACTTTATTTTTCCCATTTATGTGTTTTTCTCTTTTACAGGTATCACACTTATTGCTGTGGATGAGGCTCACTGTATTTCAGAGTGGGGGCATGATTTTAGAAATTCGTTTAGGACTTTGGGTTCTCTCAAGGCAATACTCCCATTGGTAAGTTTTGCCAAGGGTAATGTCTTGAAATGACATTTTTGCTAAGGGAGAGAGAGAGAGAGAGCAAGTGAGCCATTTACTTTAAGGAATTGGCTCATGCAATCTTAGGGCCTGACAAGTCCACAATTCATGGTCAGGCAGGAATCACTGTTAGTTAGTAGACCAGGGGGCTGACTGAAAATTCCAATAGGATGTCAGTTTACAGAATCCTTTTCCTTGGGAAACCTGTTTATGCTCTTACAACCTGATTGGATGAGGCCCACCCACATAATGGAGGGTAAGCTGATTTACTTTAGGTCAAAGGATTTCAATGTTAATAACATGTAAATAGTCACATCTGGACTAGTGTTTGACCAAACATCTGGGTACCATGCCAAAACCCTGAAACCTACTGCCATCCAGTCAATTCTAATTTACAGTGACCCTGTAGGACAGAGGGTGGTGCCGTAGGATCAGTACTAGACTGAGAACCACAAGGTCATCAGTTCAAACCCACCACTGTTCCTTGAAAACCCTATACAGGGTCGCTATGAATTGGAACTGACTCAATGGCACTTAACATCAACAATGTAGGACAGAAATTGCCCCATAACGTTTTCAAGTAATCTTTATGGAAGCATACTGCCACATCTTTCTTCTGTGAAGCAGCTGGGTGAGTTCAGACTGCTGACCTTGTAGTTTAAAACACTGTGCCACCAGCCAAATTAACTTATCACAGTGTTCATCCAAGGTGGTGCATGTATCAATAGTTTGTTTCCTTTTATTGCTGTCAATCTACCATGGTATGAATGCATTATAGTTTGTTTAGCTATTCACCTGTTGAAGGATCTTTGAGTGATCTCCAGTTTTGAAAAAACTACTAAAAATATTCATATACTTCCAAAAGGTGTATATGAATTTTTTAGCAGCTAAATAAATTGAATGTAAGGTTTCATTTCTTTGGGATAATTGCTCAGAAGTGTAAATGTTGGGTCCTATGGATTGTGTTAAAGGAATTTTAAATATATTTGCCATACTTAAGACACTTTTCAAGGAGCTCTGGTAGCGTAGTGGTTACGAATTAGGCTGCGAACCTCAAGGTCAGCAGTTCGAAACTACCAGCTGTTCCGCGGGAGAAAGATGAGGCTTTCTGCTTCCGTAGAGATTTACAGCCTCGGAAACCCTGTACTGGGTCGCTATGAGTCGGAACCGACTCCACGGCACACAACAAGACACTTTTCAGTGCTGAATTAAATCCTTTATTGTGTCTGGCTATGCAATTCTTTTTATCTTTTTCATTTCTTGGTGTGGTTAAATGCATAATAGTACATTCCTTCTCTTGAGCCTCCAGGGCAAGGTATTTGTCAAGCAATGACTGAGAAAATCTTTTTTCCCCTAGAATTTTCCTGAATGTTTCTTTTTAACTAAATGATGAGAAATGCCACCTGCTGGTTGCAGGACTATTTTTCTCACTGTTCTCATTCCTTTTATTCCCCTTCCAATTCCAATTACATTTTGACAACTAGTATAAATCTGGAATGTTCCATGCTATATTATTTTACTAAGTTCAAAAATAGCAAAGAAATCACTAACCATTTGGCACAGAGATTCTCATTTGGAGGAAATCAAGCAAAATGAGTCCAGAGAAAGAGCAGCCAGGCAGAAAGCGTCACATCAATCATAAAATTCATTAAAATTCCAATAAGTGGAATTGTGAAGCCCATGAGACATGTTGGTTCTTTTCATTACTTTCTCTTCAGCACCTAGGACAATATTCAGCACATAGTTGACAGTAACTAAATGGAATGAATGAATGAATTCAACATAATGCTGTAGAGTACGGAGTTAGAATTAACAACATGACACAAATGAAGAATCAGATGGAATAGTTACATTTCTTTGAAATTTGAAGTGCTACATTATTGAAGTAGGTATCTAAGTCATCCCTACATTTGTACAGTTACAACAATATATGTTATTGCTTGTCTTTACAAAACTTGGTACCTTTTACCAAATAACTCAAGCCTTGCCCATTTGAAAAAGAAGTTTAATGAGTTCAGAATGTGATCTAACTAGGGGGCAGTATAATTTACCATTCAAACCAATTTGCCTTTGAAAATATAAAGGTATAAACTATTAGTAGTTGTTGTTGTTATGTGCTGTGGAGTCTGTTCCGACTCATAACGACCCTGAACAGGGTTTCTGAGGCTATAAATCTTTATGGGAGCAGAAAGCCTCATCTTTCTCCCGCGGAGCAGCTGGTAGTTTTGAACTGCTGGCCTTGCAATTTGCAGCCTGATTTGTAACCACTACGCTACCAGAGCTCCCTATTAGTAGTTAGGCTGATCATATTGCAGTCTGGGAGTGTCCCAGGCTAATCGGGTGTACAGCCATCCTTCTCACAGCCTGCCTTTGTTGTGTTTTTATGCTTTCTAGTAGTTTGTACATTTAAAACATGTAAAGCACCCAAAGTTTATCAGATAAAAGACTCTATGTGAATTTCTGAAGTGAACGTAATTTTAATTTTAGTGTTTTCCATTACTTCTACTTTCTGAAAATGGAAGCAGCATTTTTTTTAGGTGCTCATCCTAATTTAAATTCCATTCATTGGCCTATTCCAGAAGAATTTTCATTGAAGTCCTATTTCTAACCGACAGAGAAAGGATTTGCTTCATTTTAATTAAAAATCAGAAGGATGGGAAGCAGTAAGAAATAGGTGCTTAAAACACACATGCTCATTAGAATAGCTGTTGTGTGGATACAGGACAGTCTGTACAAGATTTGCTGGTATTCTATAAAAATCTTGCATTGCTGTAACTGACAATACATGCATTGATGAGCTAGAGGTGTGTTTAGAGAAATAGTATAGTTTCAAAGGTTGGGCTCTCGAAAATCAAAGATAAAAGGAAGCAATTATTCCAAAGAACCAGTGGGCCATTTGACCTCCAGCGTCCATGACCTTGAGAGGCCTGAGGAACTCAATGGTTCATCGATACTACCACCAATGGAAGCATCATTCATAACTATGACTTTGTACAATGTTGAAAGCGTAAGAGTGAATTTGTGGTAATTTTCAGTTAGTTGTTGTTAGGTTTCATCAAGTCAGTTCCAACTCATAACGATCTTATGCACGACAGAAAGTAACGCTACCCAGTCCTGTGCTATTCTCGCAATTGTTGTTATGCTTGAACCTATTGCTGCTACCATGATGTCAATCCATTTTGTTAGGGGTCTTCCTCTTTTTCACTGGCACTCCACTTTACTAAGCATGATGTCCTCCCAGGGACTGGTTACTCCTGATAATATGCCCTGAGTATGAGAGATGAAGCCTCACTGTCCTTGCCTCCAAGGAACATTTGGGCGGTACTTCTTCCAACACAGACATGTTTGTTCTCTGGCAGTCCATGATGCTTTCAATATTCTTGTTCAACACCATAACTCAAATGTATCAGCTCTACAGTCTTCCTTATTCGTTGTCAAACTTTCACATGCATATGAAGTAGTGCAAAATACCATGACTTGGGTCAGGCTCTCTTTAGTCCTCAGGCTGATATCTTTGCTCTCAAATACTTTAAAGAGGTCTCATGCAGCAGATTTGCCTAGTGTAGTTTGATTTCTTGACTACTACTTCCATGAGTGTTGATTGTGATTCCAAGTAAAATGAAGTCTTTGTCAACTTCAGTCTTTTCTCCTTTTATCATGTTGTTATTTATTGGTCCGTAGGAGGATTTTTGTTTTCTTTACATTGAGGTGCAACCAATACGGAAGGCCATGGTCTTTGATCTTCATCAGAGAGTATTGTAAGTTCTCTTCACTTTCAACAAGCATGTTTTATCATTTGCATATTGCAGGTTGTAATGAGTTTTCCTCCAATCCTGATGCCACAATCACCATATAATCCAGCTTCTCGAATTATTTACTCAACATACAAATTTAATAACTATGGTGAAAAAGACAGCCCTGGCACACATCTTTCCTGATTCTAAACCATTAAGTATCCCCATGTTCTATTCAAACAACTGCCTTTTTGGTCTTTGTACAGGTTCCTCATGAGTACACTCAAGTGTTTTGGAATACCAGTGCTTCACAGTGTTGTTTATAGCTTGTCATGATCCACTCAGTAAAAACCCTTTGCATAGTCAATAAAGCACAAGTAAACATCTTTCTGGTATTCTCTGCTCTTAGGTAAAATCCATCTGATGTCAGCAGTGATATCCCTAATTCCATGACCTCGTTTGAATTTGGCTTGAATTTCTTGTAGTTCTCAATTGATGTACTGTTGCATTGGTTTTTGAATTATCTTAAACAAAATTTTACTTGCATGTGATATTAATGATATTGTTTGGTGATTTCTGTATTATGTTGGATTACCTCTCTTTGGAATAGGTCTTGGCTTCCAATCACTTGGCCAGGGAGCTGTCTCCCAAATTTCTTAGAATAGATGAGTGAGCGACTCCAGTGATGCCTCAATTTGTTGAAAGATTTCAATTTGTTTTGTATCCATTCCTGGAGCCTTGTTCTTTGCCAATGTGTTCAGTTACTTAGAATCTCATAGCTAGTCAGTGGGAAAGTAGGATTTAAATTTAAACAATGTGATTTCTAAGTCAGATTTTTTAAAAAAAACTATTTTGCTTGTATTTTTCCTCCATTTTCTATTAACTTCTTGAAGATGTGCCATGTTTCATTCTTATTTCCTTATTGTACTGCTTAGAAAGTAGCCTAACTCTGTTCTCATAGACTTCCCTGAAAAATAATTTTTAAATATGTATGTAATTAACAAGTATTCATTTGTATATTTTTATTTGCCAGTGGTAGTGGTTGTGTGCTGTTAAGTTGGTTCCAACCCATAGTGACTCTGTTTAGGGTTTTCAGGGCTGTGAATCTTTATGGGAGCAGAAAACTTCATCTTTCTCCCATGGGGTGGCTGATACATTCGAACTGCTGACTTTATGGTTACCAGCCCAACAAGTAACCCATTACATTTCCAGGGCTCCTTAGATTTATTAGTACCTGCATATTAATACAAACATATCTACAGTGAGGTTTTATTAGGTAAATCATCTCCTTTATAAATTGGTTTATTTGTCTGTAAGCTGTCAGGAAGTCAGTCTTTAAATTCAGAAAATAGTTTGATTGCAAACCATAGTTAATTGAATTAATCTTTGGACTAATAGGTTGAAATAATTTTATGAAATTTAAGAATAGAGAATACAGAAATCATGCCAGTATCCTAATCACACTGATATTGACTTAACTGGTTTTTTTTTTTTTAATTTATTTTAAAAATTATCCTTAAACTTCATTGGTATGTTTTATGAGTTTTGAGAGCATTTTTAATTCAGTAAAGCTATATTGATTTTAATAAATTATATCTTACTTTTCAAATTCTATACTTCTCTGAAAGTGGGCAAATTGTACATAAATTTTCACTTACATGCAAGATACTTGGCTTAAGCTGATTTGTAAGGTAGATTCAATTTATTAAGAGAGCTATTTTATAATGGTCCAAAAAAGTATTTTTAAATTTTTATTTTTGGATACAGAACAGCTAATGATGTAGTAATTACTTTAAGACTTAGTTCATTCTTTTGATTGTGAAATAATTGCATAACTGATTATAATTATTTATGGTAATGGGGATAAGAATATTAAATCTAGTTTTATGGGAGACATTTTGTTGTCCTACTTTACAATTTCTGAGAGATCGTATATTCATGTTTTTCATGATACCTGCTGAGCCTCTTGCTTTGACTGCTAATCCAGTCAAGAACTATTTGCTAAATTGAAAAGGGAACATGATTTGAGTATTCAAAGAATCAATTAATAATACATGTTTCATTTTGTACATTTATATATAACATGCCATGTTTAATTTAGTAGCACTAGAGAGTGGTATGGCGCTGTGAGTATATGCGCTGGACTACAAGCTTGGTTTGAACCACAAGGTTGATGGTTCAAGTTCACCAGCCTCTCCTCGGAAACCCTATATAGGGTCACTATGAGTCCGAATGACTTGATGACACTTAGCAACAACAACAAAGAGTGGATTTCCAGATCATTGGGAGTTTGTATTTTAGATCTGGGAAGCCATAAACCAAATCTAAAAACCAAACCCATTGTTATTCAAATGGTTCTGATTCATGTCACCCCAAGTGTTACCAAGTAGAACTGCCCCCAAAAACTTTTGGGTTTGGCACTGTAGGATAAGCACTGGATGGCTAGCCACAAGATTGGCAGTTCAAACCTAACAGCCACTCTTTAGAAACTCTCTAAAGGTAGCTTTGAGATGGAACTGATTAACAACAACAACAGACTGTAAGGAAGCAGATTGACAGGGCTTTCTTCTGTAGTACCTCAGTGTTGGTTTCAAGCACCCAACATTTAATTTAGTAATCAAGTGTAGCCATTATACCACCCAGGGACCAGTCTATATTTAATATAGGAATTACACACAGACTTGTTTTGTATAGTTAGATTTTCAGTGAATTAAAGTGTTTATGATTTTTGAATCACAGATTAATAAAAAATAAGATATAACATATCCATTTGTAGCAGCATTATAACAAATGTAATATTAAAAAAAATGAAAATGAATTAAACAGGCTTAATTTAATATGACAAGGTGGATTACATTAGGAAACCCTTGATGTTGTTATTTGCCTGTATAGGATTTCCAAGGAACAGCTGGTGGGTTTGAACCACGGATCTTGTGGTTAACAGTCCAATACTTACCCTACAGAGCTTTACCAGGACTCCTGGAAACCCTTATTAATGTCTTACTTAAACCAGTGTTGGTTGTTAAAACAGTAAATATTATATTTAGAAGGTTGGAAAACAAATCAAGTAGGAAATTCTTTTTCTTTTTTTTTTAAGTAATTTTAAGTTTTCAATTTGGCACTGTACCTCTGAGTATTGGTTTTTTAAAAAGTGAACATTGCATTTTTGTTCCGAGGTCTGGAAAACAAATAAGTAGGAAATTATTTTTCCTAAAAAACAACAACAAAAAAAATGTAAGTTTTTCTCTGTACCTCTGATGTTTGTCTTACAAGTCTCTTCTTATGAAGGCAGTAGAGATGTGGGGAACTAATGAGCTATTTCCTGTTTTTAAAATAAATTTTACTTAATTCAGGTTCCAATTATTGCACTTACTGCTACTGCAAGTTCTTCAGTCCGGGAAGACATCATACAATGCTTGAAACTAAAGAATCCTCAGATTACATGTACGGGGTTTGATCGACCAAATTTGTACTTAGAAGTTGGACGAAAAACAGGAAATATCCTTCAGGATCTGAAACAATTTCTTATAAAAAAGACAAGGTAAGGATTTAATGGTATGTTAATTTTTCTTTTTAAAATTTATTTTATTTTTGACTTCTTCAATGCGTATTTAACCTGGTTGGTGGGTTGATTGTGTGCTGTGCAGTTGCCTATGACTCATAGCAACCATGTATAGAGTTTCTGAGGCTATAAATCTTTATGGGAGCAGAAAACCTCATCTTTCTCCTATGGGGAAAGATGGTAGTTTCGAACTGCTGAACTTGAGGTTAGCAGCCTGACTCATAACCACTATATTACCAGAGCTTCTTTTATTTAACCTATGTATTTCAAATTCTACCTAGCTTTATATTTCAAGTCAAATATAGGTGTGGCAGTGCTGGTGTGGTGCTGTGGGTTTGATGCGCTGGACTGCAAAGTCGTTTGAACTGCAAGGTTGGTGGTTCAAGCTCACCAGCCACTTCTTGGAAACTCTATACAGGGTTGCTATGGGTTGGAACTGACTTGACAACACTTAACAACAACAACTGTGGGTTAATGCAAAGTTGGTTTAAACCACAAGGCTGGAGGTTCAAGCTCACTAGCTGCTCCTTAGAAACCCTATACATGGTTGCTCTCAGTTGAAACTGACTTGACAGCACTTAACAACAACAAAGAAAATGTTTGATTTTTTTAAAAAAATACTTTTTATTGTGAATTGAGCGAAGGTTTACAGACAGTATCATCAGCTTTACATTCAATAAATCATGATCTTTGTTTCCTCTCAATGATTACAATCCGGTCCATAGAACAACAGTTATCTTGTTTCCTCCCTGTGGTTACTATTAGCATTCCACTCATCTTCTTATCCCTCCTCAACTTTGTCCTTAGGAAAACGGTGTCCCTTTGATATTGAATGATTGATAATGATCATACCTTGCTAATGTTGTTGTCCCCCACCTCCACCCCCAATAAACCTAACTACTGCTTGACTGAATATTAGGCCACAAGGCGAGTTCCTTTCTAGACCTGAAGGCTATATATAGTCTTAGGTTTCTTCAGTCTCTTTCTGACCAGTAAACCCAATTAAATTTTTTTCCTTATTAAATAATTTTTAGTTTTATTCCACACTTCCTCCCACTCTATCCAGAACCCTCTAATGGGATCCCTTTCAGGGCAGTTGGTAGTAGAGGCTAGGCACTATCTCATTCTTCTGGTCTAAGAGTTGTAGAGACTGATTAGCCCATTGGACTAATTGATTCCAGGCCTCTTCAGTTCTTATCACTCTTCTTTGTTTCACACATGGAGAGACCAATAACTGCTCGCCTCTTAGATAGCTGCTCATGTGCTTTCAGGATCTAGATGCTACTCACTTAAGCAGGATGTAGAACATTTTCTTTGTGTAGTATGTTATATCAATTGACAAAAAGTCTTATTTTTGAAGACAGAAGCTAATTCTTGTAATATTTAAATATTCTATAATTGACAAGTCCACCACTCGTCTGTCATTTTGTCTTACTATGCTGGCTTGTGAGTTGCTGTGATTCTGGAAGCTATGCCACCGGTATTTTAAATACCAGCAGGGATACCCACAGTGGACAGGTTTCAGATGAGCTTCCAGAAGAAGACAGAGTAGGAAGAAGGATTGACAAACTGCTTCTAATATTTAGTCACTGAAAACCTTATGAATAGCAGAGAAACACTGTCAGATATACTGCTGGAAAATGAGCCCTTCAGGTTGGAAGGCACTCAAAATGTGACTGGGGAAGAGCTGTCTCCTCTTCCCCAGTCACATTTGGGCTCAAGTGTGGCAACAATTGTGAGATTGGCCCAGGATCAGGGGGTGTTTCATTCTGTTGTGCATAAGGTCGCTATGAGTCAGTACCGACTCGATGGTACCTAACAACAACAACATAATTGACAAGTAGGATAAGCACTCGACGTCAAGGTAGGTTTGAACCACAGGTCAGTGGTTCAGACTTACCAGCCATTTTGAAAACCCTATACAGGGTCACTATTGGCTAACAAGTAATTGGTGGCTGTGTGGCATGGAGTCGGTTCCGACTCATAGCGACCCTGTACAGGGTTTCCGAGGCTGTAAATCTTTACGGGAGCAGAATGCTTCATCTTTCTGCCACGGAACAGCTGGTATTTCGAACTGATGACCTTGTGGTTTGCAGCCTGATTCGTAACCACTACGCTACCAGAACACCAAGTAATTAGGGACTGTTTAAAAGGTCAGCTTCATTAACATTTGAGCCTGTAGCGTATGTCAGCAAGTATCCTAGGTACATTATGTATGATCCAGTTTAATCCTTAAAATTCTTCAGAAAGCTACATATTTTCATTCCACTGATGTGTAAATTCTCAGTAATTTTTTTCTCTTAGTTTTGTCATATGTATGCTAAGAATTTTCTTAGCCTTTTTCCTTGATCGTTCTGCTCGGTGGAAAGCTTACAATTTTTCTGTTTTAAAATTTGTTTTTAAGTCATTGAAATAATGTTTCTCATACCAATACAGACAAAAATATCCAGGCAAATAGAATTATAAAAATATCCTTGATGTTTGTTTTTTTGGCTATTGTTTTGTTTTGTTTTCAGAAAGGGAAAAAGAGAAGAAAAGATCTTAGGTTTAGGAAATCCTATAATTATTCTTGAGGATTTTAAGGAGGAATTTATATGAAGGATTTTCTACTGACATGATTGTCTTATGAGGGTCCCTGGTATCACAGTGGGTTAAGACGTTAGGCTGGTAATCACAAGGTATGCAGTTCAAATTCACCAGCCACTCCTTGGAAACCCTACGCAGACAGGGTCTCTATGAGTCAGAACTGACTCGATGGCACTTAACAAGCAAAACAGTTAGGGTTTTGCTTTGATTTAGAATTAGCTTGATAGCCTTGGGTTTAATTATTTTTTGCTTGATTATCCTGTGTTAAGCATACTATATTCACAAATTCAATATAAAACAACAATGTAATGGTACAGTCTGAGTGCTCTGCTGCTCTGGTATTCTCGCTAAAGTGAATTCTCATGATGCTTCCCTTCCTTCCCATCCTAATGGTCAAAGGTTCTCTAGACTGTTCTAGGCTAGATTCTCTATTATGAGATCATTATCTATTTTAATTTTTGATCTTTTTCAGTTCATCTTTTATTTTTAATGTCTATGGTCCTTTCCTCTAAAATAATTAAAAAGAAATAAATTTATCTTTTATGTCACATATTCTTTTCTTTCTAATGCTATTGTCCATTTTATAATATTTTATTAACTGATTACTTTATACTGTATCCAAATTATCATGCATTGTTAAGTGCTGTCATGTTGTTTCTGACTCATTGCCACCCTGTTTAGGATTTCTGAGGAGTGACTGGTGGGTTTGAACCACCAAGATTGTGGTTCAAACTGACCTTGCGATCCAGTACATTTTCCTGTAACACCATACCGGGACACCAAGTTCTCACTGTTGTTGTTATGTGCCGTGGAGTTGGTTCTGACTGATAGCGACCCTGTACAGGGTTTCTGAGGCTGTAAATCTTTATGGGAGCAGAAAGCCTCATCTTTCTCCCACAGAACAGTTGGTAGTTTCGAACTGCTGACCGTGAGATTAGCAACCCAATTCGTAACCACTACTCTACCAGAGCTCCTTAAGATCTCACTATTTCCTTGTTAATTCTACTAATTGAGGTCTGTAGTGCTTTTAACACAGGCTCTATAATCTCTCCTACCAGATCTCTCTCCTGACCACTCCCTGTTTAATTCTACAAAAAACTTGTAGAGTTATCATTTGAAAACACAACTCTAAGCCATGGAGTATCTTTCCAGTGACTCCTTTTTACCTATGAAATAAAGACCAGATTCTGGAGACTAGTATTCAAGTCCATATAAGACTTTTCTATTTAATATTAAAAGCAAATCAAGAAAGATTTTGTACCCAGTTTTAATCCTGTAGGAAGGCTTATAGTAACAGGAAATCGCTGAAAGTCAAAATATTTTCAAAAGCTCTTGTTGTTGCTGTTAAGTGCCATTGAGTCAGTTCCATCCCATAGTGACCCCTGTATAGGGTTTCCAAGGAGCAGCTGGTGAGCTTGAACCTCAGATCTTGAAGTTCAAAGCGACTTTGCACTCCAGCGCATTAGTCTTCAGTGCCACACCAGGTCTCTCTTGTTATTGTTATTGTTGTTAAGTACCATGGAGTCAGTTCCAACTCATAGTGACCCTGCACAGGGTTTCCGAGGCTGTAATCTTTACAGGAGCAGAAAGCCTCATAATTTTTCCTTGGAACCACTAGAAGTTTCGAACTGCTGACTTTGAAGTTAGTAGCCCGACTTGTAACCACTACACTACCAGGAATAATGTTGGTATTATTGTTAAGTGCCTTCGAGTCGGTTCTGACCCACAGTGACTCTGTATAGGGTTTCCAAGGAGCCACTGGTGAGCTTGAACTGCCAACCTTGCAGTTCAAATGGCATTGCAGTCTGGCGCATTAACCCATAGCGCCCTACTAGGACTCCAGGAATAACATGTTGTTGTTGTTGTTAAGTGCTGTTGAGTCGATTCTGACCCATAGCAACCCTGTATAGGGTTTCCAAGGAGCAGCTCGTGGGCTTGAACCACTGACCTTGCAGTTCAAACGACTTTTCAGTCTGATACATTAGCCCACAGTGCCACACCAGGAGGCCAGGAATAACATGTTGATGTTGTTTAAGTGCTGTCCAGTCAGTTCCGACTCACAGGGACCCTGCACAGGGTTTTCGATGCTGTAAATCTTTACCAAAGCAGAAAGCCTCATCTTTCTCCCGAAGAACCACTGGTAGTTTCCAACTGCTGGCCTTGAGATTAGTATCTGATTAGTAACCACTAAGCTACCAGCCGCTCCGCGGGAGAAAGATGAGGCTTTCTACTCCCGTAAAGATTTACATCCTTGGAAACCCTGTACAGGGTCGCTATGGGTCGGAATCGACTCGACGGCACTTAACAACACAACAACAACAAGCTACCAGAGCTCCTTAGGAATATCATAGACACATATAAATTGGAAAGTATAATGGGCTTCACAAAAGTTCCTGGGAAATGGAATTAAAAGATAATGAAATTTTCCCATGATCTTTTTGACGCCCTCATGCTTCAATTCAATTCAATCTTTCAATTCAATATCTTAGTTACAATCACTTTTGCTATTTTGACATTTAACTTAATAGATTTTTTTTCTGAATATAATGTGCAAATATAGACTTGTTTTTTGTTTTTGTTATTAAGTTTATACATAGATCGTTTTATACTATATCCATTTTTTTCCTACAATTTTCTCCTTTCATATAAAATATTTCTGCTATCTTTCCAGGCATTTTATAAATTAAAGTCTTAATTTATAGGCTATCACAAAGTCCTGATTTTGATGAGCAATTTTTCCTCTTTGAAAAAATGCTTTTAAATTGCTTGTATATTGAAAAATAATTTGTATTTTTTCCTTACTCTATAAAATTATTTACTGTTGATTTTAAATATTGAAGTCCGTTTAGTTATAAAAAATAAACTGGTTAGAAGCCTACATATATGTTTGTGCTTTTGTTCTTTTTTTCTTTAGTTCGTCCTGGGAATTTGAAGGTCCAACTATCATCTACTGTTCTTCCAGAAAAATGACAGAACAAGTTACAGCTGAACTTAGGAAACTGAACTTAACATGTGGAACGTATCATGCAGGCATGGGTATTAAATCAAGGAAAGAAATTCATCATAGGTTCTTGAGAGATGAAATTCAGGTGTGAGAACGGACTGTCATTAATTCTCTATGCCCTATGTTGTTGTTCAATGTTGTTGAGTTGTTTCTGATTCATAGCTGGAGTGTCTGAACTGCCAACCTTGTGGTCTGCAGTTCAGTGCTTATCCTACAGTACCACTCCAGGAGTAGAAATAAATACTTTGCTAATACTAATGTGTCAGTATGCAAAATCGTTTGAACTGCAAGGTCGGTGGTTCAAGCTCACCAGCTGCTCCTTGGAAACTCTGTACAGGGTCACTATGGGTCAGAATCGACTCAGCAGCACTTAACAACAACACCAATACTTATTTACCAAATGTTTATTCTGTAGTTTATGCTGAGCTTAAGCAGTCCTTCTAATCAAAGGAATCAGTGTATAATGTGCAGATTAGTATATGATCAAACTGTTGCAGATTATTATAAATAATAGCCTGTCTGTAATGCATCAATGTGCAGAGGAGGAACCAGCCACTAACCAGGAGCCCTATCAAAGCAGATTGTGGAATGAGGTTAGTCTTTCCAGGAAGATACAATTTATATAGAGTCTGACTGAATATGTGATTAGAAATATACCAAGTGTACAAGACCAGTAATTGATGAAGAAAAATTAATTCAGTGTAAAATTCCAGGAGAAGGGACCAGCATGTGCAGAAGTACCATGATGTGAGATTACATGCTGGGTTCAGGAAATTGTGAGTAGTTTAATCATTAGAGAGAAAAGGTATGTGGAGTGGGAATGGCATGTAGTATAGGTAAAGAGACAAGAAGAATTTCTCATAGACTCATAGGGAAAACACTTAATGGATTGGTTAAACAGATCATTGTTGTTGTTGGGTTCTGTTGAGTCAACTCAACTCATAGTGACCCTATCTACATAAGAACAAAACACTGCCCAGATCTATGCCATCTTTACAGTTGCTGCAATTTTTTAGTCTATTGTTGCAGCCACTCTGTCAGTTTATCTCATTGAGGATTATTCTCTTATTTCCTGCCCCTCTACTTTACCAGACATGATGTTCTCCAAAGACTGGTCCTCCTCTTAACATGTCCAAAGTACTTGAGATGAAGTCTCACCATCCTCACTTCTAAGGAACATTCTGGCTGTACTTCTTCCAAGACAGATTTCTTAGTTTTTCTTACTAATATAATCTATGGCATATTTAATATTACTTTCCATCACCATAATTCAAATACATTTGTTCTTATGTCTTCCTTATTCATAGTCTAGCTTTCACATGCATATGTTGTTGTCAGGTGCCATCGAGTTGGAACCAACTCATAGTG